AAAGACATCATTTTGGATTAAAAAATAAAAAAAAAAAAAAAAAGGAGAACCATTTAGAAGTCCAAAAAGTCTCTGGGTTGTTATGGGGCTTCTTTTCCCTTACAAGCCACTTGTGAGACCTTGTTTAGATCCCTGTGTTTAGTCCTGGGCACGTGGCCAGATGACATTCACATTCTGGAGCTGGTGGAATGAGGAGGAAGAATAGTTTTAGGCTTTTTTCTTTTGTGAATATTTTTTTTTTTTTTTTGAGAAAAGCCCCCCAGAATAGAATTATTTCTGCCTCTAAGATACATTAGATTGGGAGAGATAACTTAGTATCTCTCACCAGAGTCAATTTTCAGTGCTCTGCTGGTTGTAATGGAGCAACAGCAATTTGCAGCTAAAAATCTCTTAGTTTTTCAATACCATAGAAAATGATCCAATACTTTTCAGAGCTCAGGAAGACAACACCTATTTCTGTGCAAAGCAGGACTTTTTCTCTTCAGAGACAAGTCCTGGATAAGACATTTTCCAAGAACATTCATTTACAAGGCTGTCTTGGAAGCCCTGTTCCCCCACTGGGAGGAGAAATGCACTTCCCCTGCCTCATCCGACTCTCTTTTATCCCCCATCTTCACAGACCAGAATCCTCCATGGCACAGCATCACCACCTGTCTGCTCACACAACACCCAACGCAAATGAGCTCACTAATCCCAAATAACATGACAATTACACACCACGAAATACTTATTCTTGCCAGAGAACTGGTGGGACTCCAATAACTTCTCTTTGCTACTTTCACTCTACCATGGTGAGATCTTCATATTTCTCTACCGTATTTATGCTGATGGTAAAATCCCTACTAGCTCCAAAAGGAACAGTACAGCATTGATGCTCAGTAATTTTCACCTGACCTAATAGTTTAGATCAACATTTCCAAAAAACTAGAATGACATTACTGACTTAATGTGACTGCAGCTCCACAGTGTCTTTTCCTTTAAGTGTAGTTTCTCTCTGCCGATCTCAAGGCATAAATATGGCTTTAGACATCCTGTAAAATTTTCAGTTTTATTTAAAAGAGTTAACCTTGGGCTCTACGTACACAGACTCATAAAAAATACAAAAGCAACCAAAACTTACAAGGATAAATCCAAGCTCTTGGGCTTGATTCAGCATTCAGAAAACATAAATTTAGCAGCAACTCCCCTGAAGGTAATAAAACATAAAACTTACTGTCAGTGAAGGAGAACTAGGCCTGCCCTCCTTCAACTGAAGAATGATCCTCACAAAGAACGAACCTGGGAACGCTACACCACATTATTAGGCTTTTTGTTTTGCCTGAAAACTTTAGGCAACCATCAGCTGAATGCAGCTACCAACACTTCCATGGTGGGATTCTTGCCCTGCCTCCTCAGGCACAGAGCGGCCACACACACCTTGCACACCCTTCTCACAGGGGCTGCCGTGCCTGGGCCCAGCAGCACCACGCCCAGGAGAGGAAAGGACCTGTGCTTCCCCACTGCATCTCTGCCTCCATCCTGCCCACCACGTCATCAGCTGGGAGAGCAGATGCTTTTTGGGGTAGGAGGTCCAGCGTGAAGACAGCCACGTACCAAGATCTACTGTGATGCCTGGCGGGTCCTTCAGCACCTCTGACTTCTGCGGCAGTGTTGTGGAACTGGGAGGCAGAGGAAGGACTGTGTTTTCCTTAGTCCATCTACAAAGAGGTCCGCTAAGCCAAATTAACACAGGCTGGGTTATAGCACAGCATGTCTCCCCTGCCAGGGAAGTATCACACAGGGCCCAGCCCAAAAGCAGGATCAGATCACTTACACATCTTAGACCCTACAGCCAAGGACGGGAAGTGTTAGCAGCTGCCCTTCCACAAACAAACCCTGTCACGGCTCACAGCAGCTGACACAAAGAAAATTCCATGCCCCTGCCAGCGCTTTTCATCCTGCTCCAGCTGCAAATGTTCAAGACTCCTAACAAGTATGGTAAGCTGCACCAGTGCGCCACAGGACCGGGTAACTGCAGGTGGTAGAATATCAGGCACCAGTAATGTCCTGCTCTCAATCACAAGCACCATAAATGCCAAGAAGTGGATGCGACATCCTTTCTAACTGCCAGTAATGTGCCCCATAAGACATGGGATAACTGCATTGCATTAAGTGTCTTGCTGCAGCATTTTATGTGTGAGGAATAATCTATTTCCAGTGTTCTGAACTGAGACACATATTGGAAATTAGAGCCTCGGATCCATCTGACTCATACTACATCACCTCTGTGCTTTGTTACACTCAATTTAACACAGGGTTCCAAATATTTAGTTATACTTCCATCCCCTCTTGTGATAGGCACTACTAATTGGATGATAAATGACCTAAAAAAACCAAATGGTAACTGGCAACTCTTGCCTCTACTTAGCATTCTCCCCACACAACTGTTCACTAAGGAATTTTAGAGGGTTTTTTTGAGACACATCCTGATAAATCTCCAGTTGCAGATCAGAAGTACATAAACCTCTTATTCTCGAGCTCTGTGTGGTATGCCAAGTATTTATTAGAGCCACAGGCAAGTCCTGCACAACCACAGAGCCTGCAATATGTTTGACCAGAGAACCAGTTTTCCTTAGGTTGCTCCACTCAGTGTTTGAAGTCACTATATCTGGAAGATAAGACCGTAATTTTGCTGTTGAGCCCCTTTCTCCTCCTCATACAGAGCCCCTTAGTGACTACAGAACTAATAAGCCATGGTTTGCCAAGATGTTAAAAAAAGAGCTGAGACCACATCTACTTCACGCAGTACTCCAGCAATCCCGTCCTGCTGACGGGAGATGAATTACCTTACTTATCCCCACGACGTGACAGCCACATCAATATAGAGCAGCAGCACTTTAACTGAAAAATTCGGTCTCCCTACTGCTCACTCAGTGTCTCGGTAACTACTGCTTGGACTAACCTTACAAACAACTCAAAAATGCCCCCGAGACTTTAGTAAAAGAGTCGGTGGGGCCTCAGAGGTGAAGTGAGACATCGAGCTGGCTGGGAGCGCAATGGATCCACCACAGTCACACACAAGATCCCCCGACACACCTTATCCAGCTGTGCCAGCAGACCCCTGGTCAGTATGGCCTCACCCCATTTCTTCCTGCTCATCTAATTAAATATTCAGATCCCCGGTAACCAATTAATATTTTTAAAGCTAAATAGAGCTAAAACTAATGAAACTTAACATAGATCTGGCCTGAGGAAAGACAAGAGCTCAGTTCCATGGCTATACTGGCATACTTTTATCACAACAGAACACAGAATTACTCACAGAGTCAGTGCAGACACAGATGAATTGAAGACAGAGCTGCCGCAGAGTGGCAGAGCCACGGCCAGAGTCCTTGCCAGTTCCAGCACTGCCCCATCAGCCTTTCAGCCCACACACACCTCCGCAGGTACCATTAACTCCAGTAGCCTGACAAGCACCTCGGCGGTTACCCCAAGCTATCCCCTGATGGAGAACGAGCTCCGGCAAGCACAGTCCTTTTCGCCCTCGCAAAAATACCTGGTGGAAATCGTGTTTTGCTCGTTCCTCATCAACACAGCTCATTTAAAAGAGCTTAAGAGCTATACTTCAGAAAAGAAGCAAATAAAACAAATCGGAGATGAGTAGCCTGGAAGGACGAGAAGACGAATCAAAGCTAACAAAGTACGCCTTCTACTCTTCGACATCTACCAAATCACATCCGTATGACGCAAAAGAAACTTTTAACGTAACACTTGCAAAAAAGTATTTCAGAAGAAATCACAGCAAAATATACTCTGCATCCCCCTCTTCTGGGCCCCGGGAGCCCTCGTTCCAGCCAGCAAGGGGAGCGGGTGCTCGGACCGAGGGCTCCTTGAGGAGCCGGGCTGGACTCCTGCCCGCGGCAGTGCCCGGGGCCGGGGCCGCGCTGCCCTCCCGAGATCGTGACACCGGAGGGGACAGGGAGGTGGCGGGACGCACACGAGGAGGGTCCCCGGGGACGGGAGCAGCGGCTGTGGCCGGGGCGGCGGACGACGCTGTCCCGCGGGCTCGTCGGGGCCCGGCCCGGCCCGGTCGCTCCCGGGGCGCTTTCAGTCCCCGCGGGCCCCCGGCCGGTCGCGACCCCCACCCCGCAGCGCAGCGCAGCCCAGCCCAGCTCACCTCCCGGCCGGCGGCGGCAGCGCTGTCCGGAGCCGGCCCGGCCGCCGGGGAGGCGCCGCCGCTGCGCTCCCTCACCGCCCGGCTGCCCCGCGCTGCGCCTGCGCCGCTCCCGCACCGCCCTCCGCCGCCAGGGCGGGCCCGGCGCCGCGACCCGCCCGGGCCGGGGCACAGCGGGGACAAAGCCGGGCCACCGCCGGCCCCTCACAGCACTACCTGCTCGGGGACAGGCCCGGCCCCGGCCGGCGGCACGGCACCGCCACCGCCGGCCCCTCACAGCACTACCTGCTCGGGGACAGGCCCGGCCCCGGCCGGCGGCACGGCACCGCCACCCCCTCACAGCACTACCTGCTCGGGGACAGGCCCGGCTCCGGCCGGCGGCACCGCCACCGCCACCCCCTCACAGCACTACCTGCTCGGGGGCCGGGGTGTCCTTCCCACAGAGCGCTCCCGTCACCACGATCCGTCCTACGGGCTCAGTTCACCAACTTGGGCCAGGAGCTGGATAAGGGAAATCACAGCATCGATGCTGTTAAAATCCGCATTTTCCACAGCTCATTCCAGGATCCCCGCACTTCAGTGTTTTACAAGTTTATTAGAATTATTTCAGTGCAAGTTACTTAAGTAACAAAACAATGAGAACAACATTTCCCTTGCATTCTGGCAGCTGCCTTCTCTGTAAATAGAGTGCCCATTAAAAATGCCAGTGACCACAACAAGGAGGCAGCTGCTGTGCCAAGCCTGCTTAGGAAGACGTTCAAAGACATGCAGCAGTAGAAAAATCTGCTTAAAGGGGGTATAAGCAATTCCAGAATCCAGACCATTAAAATGAAAGGTGGATACTTACCAAAGGGCTGAGGATGCAGGATGAAGGAATACTGTCTTATTTCCAAGAGGGTGACACTTATATTAATCCACAGCCCCCGTGACATTTGCCATTAATCTTGAGTCCTAACAGATCTGTTGCTGCAGCTTTCATTCAATCTATAGCTGCCTTTCGACAGAAAGGTGGGAAACTTCTTTGGCATGAGCTAGAGGCATCTGAAGCAATCCTGCTTGCCAGTTGTGACAGCAGTGGTGAGTTCTGCAAGCTGTCTCCAGGTCTCTGAAACTTGCTCCACCTGCATAAATATCACACAAAATTGTGACGTTAAGGCGCATTTATCACAAACTATATCGTGACTGACTTTTCAGTCCTCTGGAAACTGCTGGTGTTTATTCAGGTAGCCTAGCTGGTACTGAAGTCCAGCTTTGCAGTGCCTGGCTTGGCAAAGCTATCACAGTTCTTGGCCACCCTTACAGAGAGGGGGGGAGACACTGCTGCCGCCCAAAAGCATTTAAGAGCAGCTGACTGAGGTGCCTGCCAGTCATAGAGCAAAACAAGAGCAAACAAGGCAGTAAACAAGAGGCAGGTTAGGATACAGCCAGTCCTGCCAAACTGGAGCAGAACTGACCTCCAAGGACTGGAGGAAATTCACCAAAAAAGCCTTTGCCACGTACACCCTTTGAAGAACCCAAAGCATGGGGTCAAGTTTTATGGCTTGTGTTTCTTATTTATCCCTGACACCCCTCCCCTCAATCCAGCTGCGAGCTGGAGTTGGGCTTGGCATGATTTTCTATACCTACAGTAAGCCTGAAGAACAGCAGTTTTTCCCAAGCCCTGAATGGCTGGGCTCTATTTCCCACCATGTGGGTATGGGGCAGAGACCGCTGTGTAGGCAGAAGGCTTCAAGCACTGGTGGGATGCCCCAGAGCACTTGTCTAGTCTGGACAAGGCTGGCACATAGCTTTGCCCAGGCTGCTACTTTGCTGTATTATATACCCTGGAGAGATGAGGGAAGCTTTCTCATGTAATTTGGTTTTTGACTGGGCCTGGGCAGTATGTACTTTAGCTATAAAAATCACATCATGAGTACAGAGGAAAACAGTGTTACTGGGATGGATCTTCGGTGTCTTGAGTATGTATACCAAGGGGATAGAAAACAGATGTGTTTATCTGTTGACACACTGTGGCAACTGCAGCAAGGAGCAGCGACTATTAATTCCTTCAGCTAGCTTCTCTCATGGGAGCCAAGATTCCTACATCAAGAGACTTTCCTCTTGCACTGGCTCCTGCCCTAGATGTCTGTCACACTGCTGTGAGCTCTGTGGGAGTGAGAAGAGAAACTAGAGCACATTTTTACAGGGAAGACAGATGAGTTGCAGGGCTCTCTCTCCTGCAAGCTGAACGCGCTGCTGCTGCACCACAAGTAGACCTGTGCCATCTCCCAGCCATGGAGGTGCATCCACCCCCCAGCCTCTGATGATTTCAGAGCGATCTTTTCTCACCTGAAAACATGATGTGTGTTTCAGCTTATAGCATGTGACAGCAATTACTCAGTACATTCAAATTCTTACCCTTGGCAGCATTATGCATATTACACTTCGGACATCAGGCTGCGTTTCTTGTTCTGATTTGCACTCAGCTGTGTTTTATAGCAAGGAAGGAGGGAGATGGGAATCAAACTGCATGAAGGAAGGCACAGCAAAAACTGCTTAAGAGTAAAACAAAGATATTAGGTTAGTTTTTCTAATTACCTTTTCATACAGTGAGCAGAGGAGATATAATTACACACATTGAAAGAAAAAACCACCAAAACAACCCACTAACACCAGCAACTGAACAAAACTCCACAGAGCTGAACCAACTAGTTTTTCTGCAAGACTACTTTTTCATAGCAAGGCTGGTATTGGGATGCTGAGTTGTTCTGTGCTCAGGTACGACCTGCCGTGTACAGTGAGGCAGGTCATACTTGCCTTGTTCCACCTCTTCCCTCTCTCTCAGCTTTGTCCCATGAAAGTAGATCTGGCCAGCAGCTTTTCAACACTCCCTCACATCAGTACTCTATGTTGGGGCTCTGATGAGAGATCTGACAGCATCTAGTCTTCCTGACAGCCAGGAAATGAGTAAGTGGAAACACTGCATTTCCAGCACAGCAGCGTTTACTTTTTGCCATCTCTTTTAATTTCAAGTATTTTTTTGAAAACAATTACTAAATAAAATATATCTCCATACAGGGAGGTGTGAGCACTTCGACATCTCAGCTCCCAGAAATTGTGTGGACCAGAACCCTGAGTCTCTCAGAAAGCCTTGCAGAGTGCAGGCCAAGTAGTGCAAAGGCACCACACGTGCCCTGCCCTCTCTGAGCACCGTGTAAGATGTGAGTGCCATGGCATCTGATCCACCTCCTCATCAGCAGCCTCACTAGATCAGGGAGCAAGAAGGGGAGACATAATAAGAAGCCTCCAGATGCCAATGAGAGCTTATTCCAGCTGTGTATCTGCCAAAAGCTATTCCACTCTCTACAGCCTGAGCCAAAGTAACATGAGAGTAGTGACAGCCAGGCATGTTCTCATCCAAACACTGAACACATATCTTTTTTTATGTGACATTGTGTGGGTAGGAGAGAATGGGGGTAGTGCCTGTGTTTGGGTAACTCTTTCCTCAGCCCACCTACATTCAGCATCACTGATGCCGTCTCAGACCCAGCACTGAACCATAGCAGCTTGAGTTGATCCAAGTCTGGACATCAGTTTTAAAGCACTTGGAGTACCAGGTACCAAATAAACCAGCCCCTGCCTTCACTGTGGTGGATGGGGTCCTGGCACATGAGAGCATGTTCCCATCACCTTCAAAAAAACACAGGCTGGCATTCCCAGTTCTTCTTGCACAACTGTCCTAACTTGCAGGAAAGTAAAGATTGTGAGTCATCCTTTCATCTTTACACTACCAAAGAAATAAAAAGACAGTGTTTGTAGCCTGGCTGTAAAACTGTTTGCTAAATAAAGTAACCTGTGCTTCCAATCTCCAGTTACAATGAAAAGGGACATACACCATACCAATTTATGGGACAACAGATCACTAGGGAGAACTCCAATGAACCAATTATTTGTCACTTCAGCATCATGTTTAAACAGCACACTGTTTGAGCAGACACTGTACAAATTTAGTTACTAATGTACTTTCTGCCTCTTAATTAATACTGTTAACATCTAACCCTTGCTTCCCCAGACTTGCAGTGCCTCACTATGCCAGAGTGTGTGTGCATTTTCGTGCTCATAGGCAATACTGTTCTAACCTCTTGGCAGCCACACCAGACCATTATGAACCTGGAGGAGAATCTGTCTCCCTCTTTGCTCAGATAGCAACAATGTCATTAGTCGAGGGGAGGAGAAAGAATGTCTGTAGCTTTGTTAAAAGCTCTTGTCTTTCTTGGTGAAAGTATTAGCATTTCCCAGTGTGTTTTCAGATAACAGTCAAGTATTTTGCCTTCAGTTTGAAGCTGGTTGTAAAAACAACAAAATCACACAAGGCCAGTAACTTGAGGATTACCAGCTCCAAGTGTAATTCACATAAAAGAGGGAAGAAGCTGGCTGGTCAAGAAGCTGGTGTGCAGCCTTGGGAGTTTAAAGAAATGTCCTGGGATTGATTTGAAAGTTAAAGCACTTGCTGTTCTCCAGGGGGGAACAAAGTCTAAAGTGCCACTAAATATTGCTACCATTCCTTAGGAAGGCCAAGCATAATGAGGTCAAGCGGTATGAAGCAGGAAGACAAGATAGTGGGTAAAATCTATTCCATGTGAGTCCGGGTTCGTCTGTCGTTACTGCCACAGACATACACCAAAGCCAGCAGGTTCTTACCTTGTGTTTGGCACTTCATCTTCAGCCTGAAGAGAGCTGTGTCAGCCAGGAGTGAGGACAGAGCTGCAGCTGGGCCAGGTTCTTGAGATGCTGTCAGTTAATGCAGACCAGTGTTCTACAGGCAGCTTGGTTTGAACAGGAGAACCTCAGTAACACACTAAGTAGCTTTGGAATAAGGATGACAAGATCTGGG